AAAGTTTTATTGACCTCAAAGCAAACCTATTCCAATTGGCTAGACAGTTCTATTTGAGGTTTGAACTAGTTTAGCAGCCTCCAAAACATACATACATACATACATACATACATACATACATACATACATACATACATGTCCTTTGTTCTCTCTGACGTTGCTTGTTTTCTTGCAGCTTTTTCATTACTGATGATGTTACCTTGTTTGGGTAATGAAACGTCTGCAAGAAAACAACTAAGCTCAGAGAGCACCAAGGACCCCTGATTTTAACCCTGAGCTTCAAATATTCACTTTTATATATGCATGCATACATAGATTCATTATCAAATTTTATATGGCTATTCATCTCATAAAAAGTGACTGTGGGAGGCATTCAGCAAAATGATAAAACGCTAAACATATTTTTTTTAAAAAAACTTTTAGAAATGGGCTATGAGGCTAAGAGACACTCTAGAGCAGGGGTTTCGAACTCGATTTCACAGAGGGCCGCATCAGGGTTGTGTTTGACCTCGGGTGGGGGCCGGGGTGGGTGTGGTGAGGTTGAAGTCACTTGTGTCGGTGTCTGTGGTGGCCCGGGTGCTCTGCCAGCGAAAACGGGCTCCAGAGTTCCGTTTTCAGCCGTGACGGTCTCCTGCCACCTTCTGCCAGTGAAAACAGAGCGCCCCGCCCGCCACCCGAGCTCCTTTTTTACTAGCAGAGGGCGGCAGGAAGTCGTCATAGCTGAAAATGGAGCCTTGCGGGGGGCTGTGTGTGGCCCTCCTGAGCTCTGTTTTATCTGGTAGAGGCATTGTGGGCTGGTCCTTCGCTCTAAGTACCCCGTGGGCTGGATCCGGCCCGTGGGCCTTGATTTTGAGATCCCTGCCCTAGAGACGCTTCCTTTAGTGCCATCAGCTGCTTATGGGCAGCAGCCTGCCTTGTCTAGACTGATGCTGTGTGAAGATTTCAGCCAGTTTAGTTGCCATGAAGGATGTGACGTAATGTTGACAGCTGCAGGTTGTGGTAGGTAATCTATGTGTTAAAAAGAGAGATTACCGTAAGTAAAGATGATCTCATTGAAGTAGCAAACTCGACTGGCTAATTTTTTTCTGGCCTTCTCTTTACATGTATCAATTCAATACGAATCCATATTTCTAAATCCAGCACTTTATAGATGTTTTATAGAATTATACACAACCTTTGTGGGCAAGTCTGACAACAACAACAACAACAACTATTAATATAATATGATAATAATGTTTGAAAGCAAGCCTAAATATTTTGAATAGCGTATCGGTCGATAGGGGTTCCTTGATAATATAGAATTGGCCAGTTGGAAGCCGTGATTTCCTCCTTGGGCCATTAATGCTTGCTTACCTGCCTGTGTGTCTGTTCTGTCTTCTCCAGCTCTCACTGTCTTCGAGCTGCCGCTTTCTACATCCGAGGGCTGTTCTCCTTCTTTCAAGGAAGGTACAATGAAGCCAAGTGAGTCACAAAGCATTTCTTCTTTTTAGTGAAAAGGCAGGTGAAATGTGGGATTCTACTCAGTTGCACTGCTGTTTGATAACAGCAAAATACTCTCTGTTAAGACTCTGCTTTACCTAAGCAGGAAACTGTCTTTTTGTACTGAATCATCTGAACGAGAGCTCTCCCATGATCAAGTTAAATGTATGGATGCCAGCAAGTCCCTCTTTCCCTGCTCTTATCATCTGGAGAGCTTACTTGGTCCTCCCCAGTTTCAGCGCACAGGTAGTCCTCGACTTATGAACACAACTGAGCCTACAATTCCTGTTGCTAAGCCAGTCAGTTAAGTCTGTTTTGTCCCATTGTCAGGCTTGGAAGCCATCTTTTGCATTGGGCCTTCCAGCCTGCCACATTTACTGCTGTGGGAAAATGGGAAGGGGGATTATATGCAGTATGGGAGCTATAGAGTCATAAGAACATTCCTTTCTCAGAGAGTCAAGGACATCTTGCCCTGCACTTGGAGTGGTGTGACTGGGAGGCATCTTCAGTTGGGATGGTGCCTGAGTGGGCCATGTGACGGACATGTGGGGGCTGGGCAGGGACTTGAACTTTCATTTGGGTGGGGAAAACCTGGAAGCTTTCAGATTTGGGTTTTCCAGATGTGCCAGTATGATGTCTCTAATAAAATGGACCTTTGAGGAACCTCAAGCCTCAGAGTCGTCTTTCATTGGAGGTATTACTTGGAACCCAGACACCCATTTTATGACCTTTCTGGCCACAGTTGTTAAATGAATCATTGCAGTTGTTTAGTTAGTAACACAGTTGTGAAATGAATCTGGCTTCCCCATTGACTTTGCTTATCAGAAGGTTGCAAAAGCTGATCGGATGAGCCCAAGACACTGTAAATGTCATAAATATAAATCAGTTTCCAAGTGTCTGAATTTTGGCCACATGACCATGAGGATGTTGCAATGGTCATAAATGTGAAAAACAGTCAAAAGTCACGTTTGTTCCAGTGCCGTTGTAACTTCAAATGGTCACTAAACTGTTGTAAGTCGAGGACTACCTGTAATCTCTGTGGTTAGCAGACAGCTGACTTAATTGCAACTGAATAAGTATAAAAATTAAACGTTAGTAAAACTGAATTCTGTTGAGATATCCAAGTCCATTATTGAAGGGATAAAATGCCTCCAGGCCACTACTTCACTATTAGTGCTGAGTTTGAAGACCTGTAATAAAATGACAGCAACTCAGCTACCTAAAGCTTCTTTAAAAAGCAGAGTTATAGATACTACGGGAATGTCTAGATTGTGCAAATGAGGTGCTGAAGTAGTTGCTGGAAGAGGCCAGTTTTTGGTTAAACCTCTTACATCGCCCAAAATGTTTTCTTTCTTTTAATCTTTTGTTTTGGTAGACGTTTTTTACGAGAGACACTAAAAATGTCAAATGCAGAAGATCTAAACCGATTAACAGCATGCTCTCTTGTTCTTCTGGGTCACATCTTCTATGTGTTAGGGAATCACAGGGTAAGTCATAAATCCTTTTCAGTGGTGTTGTTTGATACTTCCCTTTTTTCCTTTGCCAATGAAATAAAAGAGTGTGAAATTAATCTTAATGCAAAATTTTGCCAGTGTGCGTATCAATGGGCTGACGGGTGGTGATGGTAGTCATATGATGTGCTGGAGAATTTGTGGCCTCTGTAGTAATTGAATCTTCAAATTGTGGTTTGTTTATTTGTTAAAGTCTGGGGCAATCGCATAATTATAGCTATCAAAAAAATAAACTCCAGGCGCTTTCTGAAAAATACTTGTAACTATAAATCTTCCCATTCTTTCCTTCTTGTAAAATGCGAAAGATTGATAATTGCTGTATTTCTTTGCTATGCACTAAATTACTCCAACAACATTGCCATTTATCTGCTTATTGTAAATGGTGCCCTGAAGTGAAGTGTGAACTTGCAGGGAGAAATTAATTACAAATAATCCTCATTTAACTACCACAATTGAGACTAGCAACTCCATTACTAAGCCAGACATAGTCACTAAGGGAAATATCCCGAAATCGCACCGAATTTACATCAGTGCCACTGTTGTCATTAAGCAAATCCAATCAGGGACTCTAGCACGAATCCAAAATCAGGGGCTCCAGCACGAATCCCAAAGCTTGGCAGACTAAACCTCTGATCCCAGTGACTGACCCAGATTGTATCCTGCAACATTATGTGGTCATTAAGCAAATCCAATCAGGGACTCTAGCACGAATCCAAAATCAGGGGCTCCAGCACGAATCCCAAAGCTTGGCAGACTAAACCTCTGGTCCCAGTGACTGACCCAGATTGTATCCTGCAACATTATCCTGGGACACATACATTTTCCTTTATTCATTAAGCAAATCACCCATGGTTGTTAAGTGGGACATTGCATGATTTTGTGATGCTACCGCCAGCTCCTTCATTTACTTTACTTGTGGGATGTAAGCTGTGAAGCTAATGAATGGCAATTATATAACTACAGGGACGCTGCTGCTATTGTAAGTTTGACCGTAGTTGTGAAGCTACTTTTTCAGCACTGTTGTAACTTCAAATGGTCACTAAACGGGACAGTTGTTAAGCAAGTATCTACAATGAGGTTATTTAAGTCTTGTTGCAGTTGTTATCTCCGTGCATGGCCTGCAGGACTTGGGAGGTTAGCCTTGCCTCTAATGATTTTTGCTGCATCTTTGAATGTTATGTAGCGACAAAGAAATAATAGAATCATTGCTGAACATTCAATAAGAGATTATCCATGATGCCCTGTCTTGTTTCTTTTAGATTTTCTTTCAGACAGACAGTAGAGAAATGTTTGAAACAGACTCGATTGATTCACATCAGACAAACCTTTCTGAAAGAGGCTGTTTCTTACTCATTTATGTATTTAGATAAAACTTCATTGAAGGGAAAAATGCATTATTATTTTCCTGGGGGGGGGGGGGTAGGGAAGGGCAATGAAGGCAGTTGTCTGAATAGGGCATTTTATTTTATGTTTTAAAAAACATTTATATAGTCACCCAACATATAAACAGCTCTTGGCTTCTCCCAGTCAAAAGTTAAAACAACACATAAACTTTAAAACTAAACATATTAAAACATTAAAAGTAATAGAAATATGGTGCCAAGTCAAACTTCTAATGTGCAGGGATCTAATGCTATCCCAAGACTTGGGGCGGGGGGAGCCAGATCTTCAAAGCTTTATGGAAAGCTAGGCAAGTAGAGGCCTGCTGAGCTTCAGGGGTCAAAATGTTTCATAGGGCAGGGGCTGCCTCGGAAGAAAGCATGCTTCCCATCAGATTATTATTATTTATTAAATTGGTTTGCCATCTGTCTCACTGCAAGGTGACTCTGCCATGGCAATATTTAGGGGAAGGGACTTGGAGTGTGCCCAGCATAGGTAACCTGGCTGGATGGGTAAATGGCCATCCAGATTATCTGGTCATCCAGATTAGGGAAAGGTGGTCCCTTGGATAACCTGGCCCTGTGCTGCATAGGGCTTTAAAGGTAATACCCAGCACCTTGAATTGCACCTCGAAAGAAATCGGAAGCCAGTGCAGCTCATGCAATGAAGGTGTCACATGGGCCTTGCCTTCAGTGAGAGATGCGTTAAGTATCATGCCCCAAAGGTGCTTTTTTTTTTCAAAAGGCAACTTGGACTTTCTTTGTTCTGAGTTCTGACTCAGAAGAAGCTTCTTGGATGAGGAGAGAAACGTCTTCAAGGAAAAACAAAGCCAGTCCAGTTGCCTCTTGAAAAAAGCTCCTTTGGGACAACCATGATTTGGATGACTTGAGAATCTCCATAGTTAACTAACTATAATATGATTACCAAGAGGTTTGTGTTGATTGGAGACAGAGGGTGCCCTGCAAACCCGTGTTTGATTTGTATGTGGTGGTCCCAGTCAGTGAATTCAAGGGAAAATGACCATGTCCATTTTGCCATCTTTGTTTGATCAAGACCCCTTTTGTCTCTAGGAGAGTAACAACATGGTAGTCCCAGCCATGCAGCTGGCCAGCAAGATCCCCGACATGTCTGTGCAGTTGTGGTCATCGGCCCTCCTGAGAGGTCAGTTAATGCAATGGATCATAATACAAGTGTTTGTACATTGTGATAAACTATGGTTTCTTTAAAGATTGAATAAATCACAGGAAGCTGGGTTGAACAACATGCTAAGACATGAACCACCGTTTGCAAAATGCATTGGCCAGGTTATCTTACATTAAGACAGACAATTGGCTTTGCTTGTCAGAAGCAGGCAGTGAAGGTTACAAATGTTGATCACATGACCACAGAGTGCTGTGACATCACAATTATGAGCCAGTTGCCAAGTCCCCAGATCATGATCACATGACTGCGGGAGCACAGAAGACCACTTGTGAGTACCACTCATTCAGAACCAACTTTGAATGGTTGCTGAATGAGTGGTCCTTAAGCAAGGAGCACCTGTAGTTTGTTTTCCATTAAATATCATTTTTGTTTCATGCAACGTACTCAGCACTCTTATACCTGTGTCAACTTGACTATTCAGAATAGTTTAATCATAACTTAACGTTGTCATCTCAACGTAACCCAGGAGATAATAGCTTAGTATAAAAGTCTTTGATTATGATGCTTGCTCTGCCTTTATCATCATGTACATTTAGAAAGTCATGAATTCTTTTTGCGGAAATTGAAAGTGTAGATAGTTAAATAAAAATGGATTTAGATTCCAGAGTTCTACTACTTCCTTTAAAAAAAAGTTATATATTGACTTTTCTAATTCTTGATGCTTTTAATAATAATACTTATTTATTATTAGAGCCAGTTTGGTGTAGTGCAGAGCTGGGTTGCTGCCGGTTCAGCCAAACTGGTAGTAGCGGCGGCGGGAGGCTCTGCCCACCTGCCTGGACGCTTCTGCGCATGCGCAGAAGTGTCGCAAGCGCATGGGGGAGCGCGCCCGAACTGATAGTAAAGAAATTGGCAACCCACCTCTGGTGTAGCGGTGTTATATACCTGCCCTAGAAACCAGGAATGAGGTCAACCCAGCCAAACTCACAGGGTTATTGTTGTGGGTGGGGAAAACAGGAGGTGGGAATATTAGGTATGCTTGAGTTGACCTAATAGCTACATTTTTTAAAAGGTATGATAACAATATACAGGTAGTCCTCAGCTTACAACCACAATTGAGCCCAGAATTTCTGTTGCTAAGTGAGAAACTTGTTAAGAGAGTCTTGCCCCATTTTATGACTTTCCTTGCCACATTTGTTAAGTGGATTGCTGCAGTTGTTAAATTAGCAACATGGTCGTTAAGTGAAACTGGTTTCCCCATTGACTTTGCTTGTCAGAAGGGCACAAAAGGGAATAGCAGTTATAGCAGTTAGACTTATATACCGCTTCATAGGGCTTTCAGCCCTCTATAAGCGGTTTACAGAGTCAGCATATCGCCCCCAACAACAATCCGGGTCCTCATTTTACCCACCTCGGAAGGAGGGAAGGCTGAGTCAACCCTGAGCCGGTGAGATTTGAACAGCCGAACTGCAGAACTGCAGTCAGCTGAAGTAGCCTGCAGTGCTGCATTTCACCACTGCGCCACCTCGGCTCCTGAGACCTTGGGGCACAGCAACTGTCATAAATGTGAGTCAGTTGTCAAGCATCTTGAATAGAAACCTCATGCCTGTGGGGAGGCTGCAATGGTCGTAAGTGTGAAAAACGGTCGTGGGTCACTTTTTTCAATGCCGTTGTACCTTCGAAAGGTCACTAAGTGAACCGTTGTAAGTCAAGCGCTACCTGTAATAATATTCTTCATTAACTTAATAGTATTTAAATTGGTAATTTGTTTGTTTGTGGTTAATTTGCTCCATAGAGGGGGAGGATGGGCTCCTTGCCCGAAAGGATTTGCAACCTAATGTCTCTGTTTCTCTCTCCCTCCTTTGCAATGAAGACCTAAACAAAGCATGTGGGAATGCCATCGATGCCCATGAAGCAGCGCAAATGCATCAGAACTTTTCCCAGCAGCTGCTCCAGGACCACATCGAAGCCTGTAGCCTCCCAGAGCACAACCTCATCACCGTACGTTGGCCACATTTTTTCTTTTTCTTTCTGGCCCTTGCTTTCTGCATGACAGGAGTGGGGGAAACAATGGCGCCCTTTTATGACTCGTGGACTTCAACTCCCAGAATGCTTGAAATAGCAAGGCTGGCTCAGGTATTCTGGGAGTTGAAGTCCATGAGTCATAAAGGGGGACCATCATTTCCCACCCCTGCTGTATGCTAACCTGAGTGGACACCAAGGGGAAGAGGGTGGAAAAAACAGAAGACCCTCTGTTCCCTAACTGCTCAAATTTAATATGCCAGGTAGTCCTCGACTTATGGCCGGTCGCTTAGCAACCGTTCAGAGTTATGACAGACTTCTCTGAGGGTACTTACTGCCTGTTTCCGACATTCCAGACCTGCCCTCCACCCACAGTTAAGTGATCACACTTCGGCCACTCAGCAATTGGCTCTCATTTACATGTGACCATCTTTTAGAGCGTTTTTGCTAAAATCCAGCATTCATTTCTGATTTTTGACAAAATCGGCTTATAGCAAAACCACTATGCCACTTAGCAACCAACAACTGCTGTGAAAAAGTCATAAAATTGGGTTTGTCATGTGGATGGGCCCCTTATGACCAAGGTGGGCAGGCTCCATTACAGTCATAACTCGAGGACTACCTATATTGAAATCTGTAGAATAGGTGGGGCATTGTGGGCATTCTTTTCCTGATTTTTCCACTGGCCTCCTCGTTTTAGGACAGTAAATAGGCTTAAGGAGTACAGAAAGTAGTGGGTGGGCGGTTTGTAAAAGAGCATATTTTTGGCTTTTGATAGAAATTACAATGTCTCTTGGGAATTTTGTTTTGTTTTGTTAAGAAAACAAGCCAAAGCTGTTGATCTAATCCAGTGTTTCTCAACCTTGGCCACTTGAAGATGTCTGGACTTCAACTCCCAGAATTCCCCAGCCAGCGAATGCTGGCTGGGGAATTCTGGAAGTTGAATTCCAGACATCTTCAAGTAGCCAAGGTTGAGAAACACTGATCTAATCTTTGGGCAAGGTGCATGATTTAATTAGGAAGTCCCCATCATTTTTAGATAAAAATTTATGTGGCATGGATCTCTATCTATCATCTATCTATCTATCTATCTATCTATCTATCTATCTATCTATCTATCTATCTATCTATCTATCTATC